CAACAAACTTTTAAGCTGAATGTGGCAGTGCATGCCTGTAGTCACAGTGCTCTGGGGTCACAAATTTGAGCCTGTCCTGAGTAATTTAGCAGATTAGCAAGACCCTGTCTCAAAGTAAAAATGTACAAAGAGAAGTTCTGGCAGTGTAACTCATTGTGAAGGCCCTGATTTCAATCCCCAGTATACAATAATATTAATAGTAATAAGGGCTTTTCAATTTCTTTCTTTTTTTTTTTTTTTTTTTTTTTCACCTTATAGTTCAGGTTGGCTTAACACTGACTGTGTAGCCTAGGCCAACCTCGAGCTTGTAGCAGTCCTTCTACCTTCTACTCCTGGGATTATAGGTGTGTGCCACCTCCTGGTTTTCAATTTCTTTTATACTTTGCTCTTTCGCACTTGAATTTAGTAATATACTAATATATTGTTAATATATTTTAGCTTTTCTGTTGAGGGTACCTTGATCTGTCTTGCCACCAGTTGCCTGGGAGAGGGCTAATAATTTTTTTTTTTTATTTCTGTGTGATGGGCCATTGGACTTTGTCACATTAATATGTGTCCGGGATTCACAGTTATTTCTCCTGCTAACTTTAAAGCGGCGTGCCGGCACTTTCACCTATTTTCCCATTTCCCCTTTCTCATACAGCAGCAGCTCATGATTCAGCAGACCGAAGTCCTCGGCCCACCTCTGCCCCAGCCATAGCTCAGAGTGAAGTTGCAGAAGGTGGCGTCCCAGGGGCACCTGTCAGAAAAACACAGAAGGAAGCAGCAAAGGTTGATGTTAAAAAGGAAGAGGAGCCCCCTGAGCAAGCTGAACTAGAGCCCACAGAATCGTGGAAGGTATGTCCTAAATCTGCATATTTAGCTGACTGATTTGCTGACTTACAGGTTTTAACTGCTTGACCAGGAAAGTTCTCAGAACAACTAATCTTACAGAATCACAACAGATTTCTTCCTTGTTCTTTCAGAATGAAGTAGTTGCAATCTCCACATTGCTTAAGAGTCAGCTCTGCTGTTATGATTAAAATATAATTTTAGGCCAAGTGTAGTAGCACATGCCTATAATCCCAGCACTCTGGGAGGCTGAGGGAGGAAGGTGACAAATTCTACTGTAACATGGACAATTTAGGGACTTGGGGAGATGGTCTCAAAAAAACCAAACCAAACTAAACAAAAACAGGGACTGAGGATATAGCTTAGCATAAAGGCCCTCAGTTCAACCACCAGTACCACAATAACAAACTATATATGTATGATTTCCTGAGATGTATGTACATTTCCAAAGAGTATGTATTACATAAAACACATTTATGTGATTTAAATCTTACACAGCATTACAAAAAGGGGAGATCTATATAAGAAAGGTTATGACGGTGTAAGTGCCTGCTTGGGCAGCTCAAGGTCCCAAGTTCAATCCCCAGTACCGCAGGGGAAAAAAAAGAAAAAGAAGAAAGGATAAGTGCTTCCCTGGCAAGCGCAAGGGCCTGAGTTCAATCCCCTGTTCCGCAAAAAAAAAAAAAAAAAA